GCGTTTTAAATTTAAAATTAAAATTTTAAATATTAAAATTATTAGATAGTGTTGGGATACTGAATATGAGAAAATAATAATTTCAAGTGTGAAATAGATTAATATAAATGGCAAATAAAAAAGGAGTACGAAACAGTTATGATGTGTGAATTCATCGATGGAAAATTATCTAAGGAAAAGTAAAAGACACAACATTTTATTAAAACTCTATTATTGTATGCAATGATTTAATGTCTTACATTTACATTTTCTTTTACTAATTTCTTACTGTAAAATATTCATTATCAAAGAGATATGAAATAAAAAGCATTCACCGTTTTGTTTATTTTCTAGAAATCCAATTTTGATTTATTACTTTATACGTATTTGATTTAAATTAACTTATTCAAATATTAAAACGCTATTAGTTTTAGTTTATATATTCACATTTATAATCATAAGTTTCGTGCTACTTTTTTAGTTTATCATATTTCATATACCACAATTCTTGGTAATAATGTCATAAAACTTAGCTAATCGATTATCTTATTTTTTATTCATGCACATGTAAATTACTGCATAGTTTTTTACAACGAGATTTGCACGCCAAACGTGCAGATATTGCATTTGGATTACTATTATTATGTACTTATTTTATTTATTAATGGTATGTTTTTATTTATTCTTTAAAAAATTCATTTATTTCTTTTAGTAATATATATTTATATGTAATTATGTATATTAATTTCTATATACGTATGTATATATACTTATATTAAAAATAATTAAAGTAATAGACAATTATTTTAATAGTCAACTAATGGTAATGCATCGATGTATATGTACGCATATACCCATTGTATGTATGAATGTACATACAAATGACGATGAGTTTGCCACAAAGATTGTAGAGCAATAAGTAAAAATTACATACGTTTACCTATTTATCTAGGTGAAATTTAATGAATTTCAGAGTCGAACTACAACTCAAAATTTTGAACTTTTTTATTTTTGGCTTTGACTTTTTATACTAAAGCCGGCTTTAATTATAAAAACGAATTAGGAAACTTCACGTTGCTTAAAAAAGCAGCAGAAATCAATAAAACCCCTTACAAGAGGGTAAGCAGTTGCCAATATGAAGTGTGTAACAGCACGTGAAAATGCTTTGATCATAGCAACAAAAAGGCTTCTAGGTATTTCTCGTATTAAAAAATTAATTTCGCAGATATTAAAGTGAAATATAGAAAAAATTTCTTTCACAAACAACAACAATAACTACCTAGCCGACTATTGTCGCAGACTGCTTTTCATCTACGTCACATGTGTATAACCATTGCCTGTTCCAGCTGACGCAATAGATGTTGGTGTTGCAGCTACAATTATTTCACCTGTAGCTGTATGTTGTTGATAATAGTAGCTCACAGTCTGTAGTGGTGGACGTGCTACTGCAGTTGTGCCTGCAGCCGTATTATTAGTATCATGCAGATAAGTAGTATTATAATGTTGTTGGCTTATATGTGACTGTTGTTGCTGAAGTTGGGTTATATGATGTTGCTGACCATTACTATTTGTGGTTATAGTTGCAGTAACACCGACGGCAGTTTGTTGTGATTGCTGTGGTGGAGGTGGTTGGGGTTGTGATGGTAATGTATTTGTTGTTTGTTGCTTAATTGTTGGAGTTTGCTGCTGTTGTTGCTGTTGATGTGCTGATGTGCTCGAAGTCATTGTCGCCGCAAGTGTAGGGGTAGCTGAAGTAGTGCTCGTATGTAATTGATACCTCTGCGCAGCAATAATTGCGTTTGTGGCAACTTTTGCTGTTGCCCCTTTTGTCTATAAACCAGATATGATGACTTCATGTTGCGCGTCGTCATCCATTTCGGTTATCTCCTGCTTGTGTATCATTACAGTTTGGCTATCTGTAGACTGTTGCTGTGATTGCGCTGGCTGCCTCGGTGCAGTTTGACCTAGGAATGAGAAAAGTTTTTGATAATTCAAATATTGAATTGTCTTGTTAAAATAACTTAATTAAGTTTTATTTAAGTATTTTTCTATGTTCAGAAAACTTTTGGTTAACACATTTGTTTATTCGAACAATTACCATATTTCAAGTGAATGCCTCTATGCCTCTTCAGCGCAAATCGATCTGCAAACGCCGCCGAACAGATATCGCAGCGGAATGGTTTTTCGCCGGAGTGCACTTTAGCGTGGTTTTTCAAATGTGCTGCTTGCGAAAACGCCGAGCCACAAATTTCACACTTATAGGGCTTTTCGCCAGTGTGTATACGTCTATGATTCCACAATGTGGCATGACGCGCAAAACCTTTGTCGCACACCTCACACACATATGGTCGTTCGCCACTGTGTGTACGTTCATGGTTTTTAAGATGTGGTGATTGTGAAAATTGCATGCCACATGTTTGACACCTGGAAAGCAAACGGTAGGAAAAACACGTAAGTATATTCAGCTAATTTTTTATATGTACGTATATTTGAAATAAGCGCACTTGTACGGTTTCTCTCCTGTATGTATCCTTGCATGATTTTTCAAATAAACTGCTTTAGCAAAAGCCAAACCACAAATGGTGCACTTGTAATTCTTTTCACCGCTGTGAAGCTTCTTATGGGACCACAAGCTCGAATAACGCGAGAAGGTACCACCGCATATATTGCACGTAAACGGTTTGGGATTTCTATAAACATAAATTTATCATAAGCAAAAGGACTTGTTCAATTATTATTCCAATTCCACTCACTCTGCTTTCGTATTGACAGCCTGCTGTTTGGTGGCCGGGGTGCCTGTACCCACAAACACTACTCCAGAGCCATTGCACTTTTGACATTTTGTCACCTGTTGTTGATTGCGCTTCTTCACTGGGTGATTGCCCGATTGGCTACTTGTTTGCCCATGTTTCGTTGATGCATTTTGCTGTTGGTTGTCCTGTTGCTGCGACTCTGGGGAATTCTCCGATACGACCTGCACAGGGTGTAATTGATGCGTCAATATGCCGCCTTGCGCTGTAAGCGGATCCATTGGCGAAGAATCCGTACTACCGCCGGCTACAAACTCATTTATTTCGCATTTTATCTCACCATCTTGTGAGACAAATATCTGTGTCGGTGTAATACCTTGTTGTGCGGACATTTCTTGATCCGAACGTATGCAATCCTCGCAACGCACCAATTTTGGACCTTTGCGCTTGGCAGGTTGCAACATTTGATTGCCACAAGTGATACATTTCGATTGTGTGAGCTTTACCGATTTTAAACCACTAATGTTGGTCGCGTTCACTGATACCTCATTGCTGGAATTCTGTGCTGTAACAACAGTATTTGTTTGCTGTTGTTGTTGCGGCTGTTGCTGCTGTTGTAAAACGGTTGTGGCTGGCTCTAAAGCTTCAGTTGCCACTATTTGTATCTGCCCCATTTGCCCATTTTCTGTTATAATATTTTGCGTTTGCACTAACCCCTGTGCATTCAGCACAATAGTTTCCGGTTGCGCCTGCTGCTGCTGTTGCTGTTGATCACTACCATCTTGTGTATGTATACGCTTATGATGATTTAAGAGCGCCAAATGCGAAAACATTAAGCCACAAACATCGCATTTAAAACTAATGTTTGAGATGGTGTTCTGTATTGGTGAAATGGTCTGTAAGGACTAAAAATATGTGCATGAAAATATTTAATTGCTCTAGTTAGCTTTTCAACAAACATACTGCAGCAATTGGTTTATTCTGATTAACAATCTGCAAACGTCCTTGTGCGTCCAAAGTAGCAATGCCAATTGTGCCACCTTGGTTAAGTTGCATACCATTCACCAGCGCGTAGTTGTAGCCACCAACTGGTTGTGCAATGTAGCATGTTTTGTTGTCATCGGTGGTTAGTTGGGCTAGATTAACGGTGGTTGCAGCGCCTCCCTGAAAAAAAAAAAAATAAATTGTTTAGAATTAATCAGAAGAAATATTTTGAACTTAAGAATGACGAAATTGTTATTCACTTACATTTGTGGTGGTGTAGTAAAATGTTGGCTGCTCGGTCTTCTGCCCCTCTATTTTTGGCTGCTTCAGTATGGTGCCATCAGCTGTTTGATATTGAATTGTGGTGGGCTGACCATTGGCCCCTATCGCATTTGTTGTAAAAATTATATTTTTCGTAAGATCCTCCATCATTGAAGCGAATCAAGTGGATACTGTCAAAGAAAATAGTTTATTTTTATAATATTTATTAGGAAATCATATAAATAATATAAAATATAGGCTTTTAATTTGGCGCCAATTATGTTCGAATTCCATAGTTCACCAACCTATGCGATTTGTTTACGTCTATGCCATCAAAATATGTTGAAAACCAAGCAATGAATAGTCGTACTTTTTCAACACACTTGTTAATACTTGACCAGAAACAAAACCAATTAAAAACCTCTGGCAACGCTATAAGAGAGCGAGAAAAAAGGAAGCTACAATAGCCGCACGCGCTACTCGTTGTAAAATATTACACTCGCTGCAATTGTCTGGCACGAAGAGGACAACGATACCAACAAAGCGAATCAATCAACGAAGTTAGGCGAGCCAATTGAAAGGCGAATGATGAAAGAACAAAAAAAAACGTAAATATGTACTTATTTCGTAAAAAAAAGCACTCTTCTAATTCTACTTGCGCAACTATCTCACGAGTTGGCCAGAGAAATTAAAAACTCACATAATTTCCTTATTAAAACTAATTATGCCAGAAGTGCACAAATTTTAAACATTAATGTGGCTTTATTCACACTATAGTATTTCTACTATCAATGGCTTTTCGAGAAAAAACGAATATCTACCCGAGCGATGGGCTGCATACGACGTAGCGAATACGCGAACTGGGAATTGCGTTCACATAAATTTTATGATTTTCACTTTTTATGATTATAATAAGCACTTCTGTTTTGATCTTACTCTTCTATCTTGTTTTTGGCGGCTTGTGTACAAATATTTCACGTTTATTATTGTTTTTTCTTTTTCTAACAAATTATTCCAGCAACGCGTAGACGCCACCTCAACTCGTCCGTTCAATGATGGTTGTCGTTGTCGCCGCCGTCGTACAAGAGCAGCAACATCAGCCACATTCCACTCGTACAGTTGGGTAGAGCGAGCAGTGTACCCAACGACAAACAGACAAGAAAAGCAATATGGCGGCTGCATGAATACAGCACTGACCAAAAGAGAAATGCACAATAGAATTTTTTCACTAGCTCCTGTGTTAATATGCAACCACTTTTCTTGCACAAATCTTATGCGGAAACACTTTTTCTTAGCAATTTCGCTGAATGAATATGTAATCGGGTTTTTACCTCGTTAAAAAGTTGGTGAAAGAAAATTTCTTCAACTTGATCTCTTTCTTCAGTTTACCCCTTCACACATTAGTACAAAATTCAGTGTACGCGGATATACTTTGCCGTTCGCACTCGTTCGACTGCTAAAAGAAGACTGAAAATTTCTTTCGGTTAGCAGTGAGAAAGGGACACCCTAGTCTCTTTTCTCGTAAGTGTTTATGGCGTTGCCAGATGGTTTTCGTATTAATTGGAAAACAGGGAGAAAGAAGAAATCTGAAAGAGAATTTAATTCTTTTTTTCAGTTTATATATTTAATTTGTGATAAGTTTTAATAGGTTTAAAATATTAAACTTGATTTAGTAAACATTGATTTGTGTATCAATTATAAAATTGTCTTTCAAATCTTAAGAAACAGCAGATAAATATATTAATAGCTACGCCTGTAGGTATGCAATGGTTTCAACCCTGCTATAGACAAAGCACTGAACACACCACTGGATGGAGCAGGGTTGCTGTTTGCTAGCGAATTGACGTTATAATTGAAAATTTAAAAATGCTTAAACTACATACATAGTTAAAAATTTTAAACTTTAAAATCCATTTTTAAGAACCAGAAATTGGTTATATGAAATTAATTCAACTGTGAGAAGTATATCGCAGACATTTGTTAATAAATTTGTCTTTTTCGTATAGAAATCGACCCGGTCTGAGCCACAATCCAAGAATGATAGAATACAAGATTGCTTATTCCCGACGGCATACATAGGGACGAATCGACCATGTACGACGACAAAAATGTTTACTCCATATGTATTTGTCAGATTTCAACGAAATTTGGTATTTAGGGATTTTCATCATCACTAATTTCGAATATTAAATTAAATTTGCAAAATTCATAATGGCGGATCCAATATTGCGGTTTCTTAACAAATTTCTATATTTTTGTGAAGCTTGGTGTCCAGAGATTTTCGTAGTCACCGATTTCGAAATTGATATTCAATTTTCAAAAATCAAAATGGCGGATCCAATATGGCGGACGATTTCTTCAAAAATGTGTAAATTTTTATAAAGCTTGGTATCATGATTCAGTAATGAAAGGTTTCGTAAGAAAAACTTTCTCTCGCTCTAATTTTTCCAATGACACTCCTACTCCACTCCTAAGAAAAACAGTGTTATTTCTTTTACAAATTGCTTTGGAAATTTTAATTTTTTTTTTAAGTAGTGAAAGCTTTACTTTTCAAGTCAAAAAGCCTAATTGGCTTCACTGACAGTTTATTTTGCTCATATTCGTTGACAATTAGTTGCGTTCGATAACAAAATTAGCCAACACCAGCCAACAATCAAAATCAAGAGAGTAAGCGAAAATTCTCTCCCAAAGAGATGAATAAGCAAAAAAGTAAACGAACAGGAAATTAGCCATTACTTGCAAAAACCGGAAGAAGAAGACACACCAGCTGACTTTGTTTGTTTTATTTGTAAACAAACTGAAATTCATGTTCCCTCCATAGAAGAAAAAACGA